TTGAAACGTTTCAATAAAATATAATGCTAAATAAATACGAAATATAATACTAGTACTACAAAATTCTTAATGACAATAATGTTTCTTTCACCTATTATTGCCGACAGTTTCCTGTCAATTCCGTGTAAATGCTCTATGCACACACACTAACGCCGCCATTGCGCATATATATTAACAGTCACTGTGCACAGTGAGCAATGGCGGCGTTAGTGTGTGTGCATAGAGCATTTACACGGAATTGACAGGAAACTGTCGGCAATAATAGGTGAAAGAAACATTATTGTCATTAAGAATTTTGTAGTACTAGTATTATATTTCGTATTTATTTAGCATTATATTTTATTGAAACGTTTCAAGTGCCTGTGCTACACTACATGAGTCTTATGACTGATGCTGATTCAGCTGGACATGACTGCACATGTGCTCCACACCTGCGCCACAGTCGGACATCCCCCCTTCCTCCCCTACTAGCCCAGAGACTATACACACGCACACGCACGCACGCACACACACACGCGCTCTCACACCTGCTCGACGCGTGTGCGTGCGTGTCTACGCGAGATCACATGCACACCCGCGGATCAGATCAGTGCAGATCAGTGCAGATGTTGTGCATGTAGTCGCGCGGTGCATGTGAGTGTAAAACTCGCTCTCTACGACCTATACACCTACAAACACCCGCGACCACAGATAACGAAATAAACACACGCAGTAATACTGTGTTATGCTCACAGACCCCCCCCCCCCGCCTTACGTTAGCCAGTCTCCACCGCACGAGTTAGCTGACTATGTTTAATATTATTATGCACGGTACGAGTAGAGAGTCTCCCTTTATAGAAATAATAGCAATGGACTTTGCAGCAGAGTTAATGTAACTATAGGATTATATATTGGAATTGATTTAATTGGATTATTATAATATTATATTGGAATGGCATATACACTGGCAACTGGGAAACTTTTCAAAATCCACACGGCGAAAATGTCAAACGTCTTACGGTATAGCAAGTAGCCGACTTAATGTGCTGCAGAAGCAGGCGTGCCTGCAGAAGATAACCGCACGTCTGCAGACTTCACGAGCTTTCTCGCTGATTTGAAAGTTTACTAACGCCACAGACAGCCTACCTAACAGGAGACACGACTAGTAGCAGCTTGGTTTTTTTTCCTTTACGGGGAGAGGGAGGGGTTAAGTCTTGACAAATCTACACGTCTAATTGTGATCGTATGCTGCGGGGTGGAGAGTCTTCGTATTAACCCCCTCTTACCCCACCTCACCCACCACCCCTACACTCATTATTCCTAGGTCAATCTATCCAGTCCTCCCAGCAAACCTTAGTGGGTATTACGGAAGGGCTGCAGTCACGGGAGCTCAGACAGCAATGAGGACGGGGAGGAGGGAGAGGAGAGAGGGAGGAAGGGGAAAGCGAGCGTGTGGCTGGCTGGCTGGATACAGCTCCGATTACTGTGGCTGTATGGCACGCTAGCAATTACCGGCGGGCGAAACACGGCTAAGCTTTTATGCCTGAATACATAAGTAAAGGCATAGATTAAGCTGCGGCGTTCTGACCGGAATCTCTCTCTCTTTCTCCCCCCTCCCCCTTCTCTCTCTCCACCTACCGAAAGAAAGAGCACGCAGAGGCGGCGAGCCCTTCCTTCACACTGACACAGCGTGCATAATGTCGAGCCAATTCCACACTCTAAACCCATTCGTTTCCCCGAATCCCCTCCGCCTCGACAGAAGAGAAGTCTTTCTTCGGAGGAGAGAAGAGAAGGGAGGGGATTTTGCATTTTTTCGCAAGTGCGACAATGGTGGAGTAATTACAGATTTCGCTAGCGCTATTGTGAGACTTAATTGGTAGATTACGGTCCATGCACGTATACAACCTAATCGAAACTTTAGATTAGGTTCTGAATTCTAACCAGAACCTGTGTTGGTATAGACTGATTCCAGACGCCGATTGTCACCTCATTTTCAAGTCGTGATTCTTATGGCGACAGTCTAGCGTAGTTTAAAAGAATCTGGTTAAATCTATAACTAATTCTCATTATTTCATTCATGTGATAAAAATACAATCAGCGGGAAAACACACATGTATGCATACGACACCCGGCTTAATCTAACTTCAGCTTTAAACTTTTTTTCTTTATTTTTGAACTTTTTTCTTTATTAAAATCATAACTTAACAACGAGAGAACACACAGGACATACTAACCTACTTTCACATCAAAGATTTATAAATGGCCAGCACTAGCCAGCGACTCAGGGCTAGAACGCCCACGGTTGCTCAGACCAAATGTCACCGCCAGACTAAACATTCCACGGGTAAAAGCCTACTGTTGACAGACAGCAAAAACAGCTCACATGGGTCAGTTCACAGGTGAGCCAAAAAAAGCTATGTCGTGTTACGCCCTACCCCTAGATCTCGCGCCAAGGCAGGTAAAATAAAGGCAACAAGAGGGACCATTTTTCATACTAGTACTACTTAACACACCGCCAGCGATCGGATTCAAGAAATATAATAATAAATTATAGATTCATGACGGCTACGACTGCGAAATCCCTCGATTCTGAAAACGCCGAGTCTTTAAAAAATCAATTAAGTGAAAAAATCCCGTGTCAGGCGGCAAGCGCCGCACATTACGGGATAATAAAAATCCACTTTCAAAAACACTTACTATATACTCCTATACCCGACTACCGCCGCCACCCCACAAAACTGCCCTCGGCGCACGCACTTCCTAGAAACAGGTTTGGCACACACCTCGCGAATGGACAGCACGTCCTCCGCGCACACCGCCACCCCCAGCACCCGCCCGTCAATATCGGCACTTGGTGCAGCCGCACGTGTTTGCTCTTCCAAAAGCGCGTGCATTTTTGCTAAAGTCCCTTTCTTTCTCTCCTCGCGACGCAAGCGCGGTTTCGTCCCCCCCCACCGATGCATTTCACCTTCCTCACCACCCTCTCCCCCTCAAGGTTGGCTGTTAACAACTACATACGTCTTCCCTTGGCGCTCACCCGTCGAAGGTGTGAGAGGGGAAAGAGAAGGTGCGAGAGAAGAAGGAAAGGATATGATGGAGCGAGAGTCCGAGAGGGAGGTGAGGAAACGAGAGACAGAGAGACAGAAGAGAAGAAACTGTTTTAAATACTTACTACAACTACATTTATAATATTGGATTAAATAACGAAAAAATAACGCAGCATATTTACTAAATTATTACTGCACGGCAAATTCGCCAACGAACATTATTCATTAGCACCGAATTTGATTTTTGATATTTGATTTATCCTCTCACTCACCTCTGCATATGTGCCAGCGTAAATCATTTTAAAACCCGACAGAAACTCAAAGCCAGATTTCCCCCACCCCGGCATCAGTATGCACCGCGTTCTTGCCAATAACTCACCCATGATTAGACCGTGTTTGCTTTGTTATGATAATAATATTATGTCGGCACAGTCCACCCACAGACAGCGCGCACTCACTGGTTGCGCAATCATATTCGCTCCTCTCCCTCACACACTACGGCTGTATGTATAACAACACTTTATATCGTTTTTCATTCATTCACACACACACACACACACGCACCCACACAAATAAATATATATATTATAACGCTTAACTTATATATATATAACGCTTGCTTTAACCATCAAATAGATATCTACTATACCTTCACATCATAACCCCTCATACCTTCACACCATTCGACTCTCTATGCTAACCACAATCACTAACCCTAACCAATAATATCTAGTATTCCTTCGCGTGATAACGACCCATCATTCGACTCTCCATGCTAACCATGATCACTAACCCTAACCATCAAATATAGTATCTAGTATTCCTTCGCGTGATAACGACCCATCATTCGACTACGTACCGTCAAAGCGGCGGGTCTGTCTCGTGAACTGACTCCTCACCACCTGTAACGATCCATCGAGCAGGTGACTGAATTCCTTCGTGCAGTAGCGGGACAGCTTCATCTCCATGTCCTCCGTACAACACGTCTTCCCCGTCTTACAGATGCGTAGATTCTCGCCTGCCAACGAAAAACACACACATATATAGAATGAGTTATAACTTATATATAATTACGTAGCATGCGTTACATATGATGCGCGACAAAATATAGCATGGGTACCACGACATAACAATATTAACATGGGTATACACGTACCAGAACATAACATGAGTGCACACGTGCTAGAACATAACATGATTACACACGTACCACAACATAGCATGGTATACACGTGCACAACATAGGATGGGGTCATACAGACGACAACATAGCTTGGTACATGTGCATCACGGCATGAAATGGCTGGATACTTAACATGACGTAACATAACATGGGTTACATTCGTACTGCAACATTATAGCATGGGCATTTTCATCAAACAATTACCAAATTAATGTAGTTAAATTTCTGATAATACTCCAGCAGCAAACACGGGGCGCGATATCACGCGACAAGCGGCCGCTAGCATTCTCTGTAGCATTAACTCCATTAGTCAATAGCGGTAAACATGCGCCGATGGACACGCAATAACAGCCGGGGCTAAATGTTAAATCGATTTCCAATTTTGGTTCCAGCGGGAATAACCCGCAGCTTAGATTCGCGGGGCAATTAAGAAGCGCGCGGATATTTCGCGTAAAAGGTCGGTTAGCTTCCTTCCCATCCGACAATATTTCTCTGCGCTCTCTCGAAGAACGCGCGAACAACTAACTACGTTCGTAACGACAATGGCACTGACTGCTTACTTGAATAGCAGTATTAGTAATTACTTTAGTCTTTGATAGCTTCGACGAAGGGACTGATGAATTCAGTCCTACATTGGGACCCCGGTGAACAAAACTATGAGCATCATCATCTTACCCCTATCACTTTCTTACCCGACCCTTACCCTGACATTCAAATCCGGGATCCTAGAGTAGGACTTAAGTGAGCTGGTGTTGTCTTCCGCTAGCACTCCCACGGAGTTAGATCTACCACGTAGATTACTACCCCTCAACACTGGTGGTAACATCACATGCCTGCCCAACCAAATCCGTCGCCTTCTTCAGAGAATTTTCAACGTTTTCGGGATGAAGAAGCGATGATTTACGTGCTCATGGATGGACACGTACATAGATAGACATGGGGCCAAAGCACGCGTCTGCTTCCTATTTAGCTGAGGACGACGGCGACGGTATGAAATGTGCACACATGTGGCTCGCACACACACACAGTGTACATGTAGTTTATAAACAGCACGTACAGCAGGCAGGAAGACATGTATACTAACACGGGGCCTGTGTGCTGCTTGAGTGTGTGTGCCCGGGCTACCGCACTCTCCTTCTACACATACACAACTCTCTCTCTCTCGCTCTCTTTTCGCTCTCTTTTCACCCCCCCTCTCTCCCCGCCTCCCCCTTCTCTATCTCTCTGACGTGTCCTCTCTCTACATGTGAACGCATGGTGTACGTTATTTCTACAAGGTGTACACGTGGAAAATGTGAAAATCAATTCTAATGCATAATTTAGGTAACTTTTATGTTATGGCTACCTATACCGTGTTAAAGGCACGAACTTCGCCAATAAACAGCGCACAGTGCGCTTGTACCGCAATTGATTTTACACATAAAATACAAACCAGAAATTATTAATTCCGAAAAACCACGATAATGTGAATGCAGCTATAAAACAACACATTTTTATGGGAAACAATAAATGAATATTATGCACGAATATACGTGGGACCAATTATCGCACGTGTTTGTGGTACATGATGTCGTTACAATTTCACTATCAGTTTTGTAATGGCAACACAAAAACGCTGTTATGATTGCTATGTGGACTCTACACGTACATATATAAATATAATTATACGTATTATATAAATATTATAATGAAAACATTGCCTGATTGGTTTCAGACAGTACAGCTAGTACAGTACTTGTATTGTAATATAATTTGATCCGAGAAATCTGGAGCACTTGGTGTTGTTAGAATGATCACGAATATCTGAGTCAACTCCGTTTTAACCTCTCGGTCCTTAAACATTTATAAGAGCGATCGTAACTACACTACCCAGCCTATGAATGGTTGTCCGTGACTTTACGATACGTCCTACCCTGTAGTAAATCGACCGAAACTATAAATGACGGAAAAATATGCAATAAAATGCTACTTACGTTCAAGCAATGGAGAAATTTTTATGCGTTTTATATCGTTGGAATTTTCTCGTAAGAGGAAATTACGAAAGCCACATCGCATGCACGTATTCTGACGGCATATCAAAGAGGTAGAAATACGTTATCGCTCTCATCCATCTAATTATCATCATTACAACAGATGGCCTACACCATTTAAATATGCAGTAGCGTCTAACGTCATTTCACGGCTCCGTGATAACAAGTAGCAAGTTACGGCGACGGTAAATTCGTTAGGAGGGATGCAATTTAACGATGCTTCTAACAACAACATCTTCATGTTGCAAAATTATATATTTTCAATCGCATATTTCGACGGTGACTTAAGGATCGTTCTGACAACGCACGTAACATAAGTTTGTAGATGATAATAAGCCTAAGGGATATATAGGTTTCACTATATTAGTGATATGAACGTCAAACTTGGTGACTGTGTAGATGTAGATTTGTGTACATAACCGTAAACACACACACACATGAGATACAGTAAGGCCTCAGCACTTCACACCTATGTTTGCCCGTTACCAACGCTTTGTCGTATTAAAAGCAAGATGACTGTAACTGTTGCGTGTATTGTAACATTGGTAGAGGATAAATACTTTACCCTGACTTGATAATATTAAATCATGTACACAGAGCCTGTGCAACGACGCAGGGACCCCGGAACACACAAGCACAGACATTCACGCGAGCATATATACGTGTACGGTACACGTATATATGCTCGCGTGAATGTCTGTGCTTGTGTGTTCCGGGGTCCCTGTCCCGGGGTTCACGGTGTACCATATATATCAAGAGTAGATAATCTTGATATAAATCCACACATAGGTAAAGGTAGGTGTGGGTGGGTGTGTGTGTAGATAGGTATGTATGAAAGGTACGCCCGGAGAATGTCGCGTGGGCAGGTGATGAGTAACAACGCCTAAAAACCGTCTTATCTTCGCTATGATCTATCACGAGCCATCTACTACTACACGGACTGATTTACATGACAACGCGCCAGTATAAATAGACACCGGCCACCCATTAACGATTTCCAATGGATAACCAGAAAGCCTTCTGTTCATTTTCCGCTCCTACGCATCTCTGTTCTTTCAGGGAAGACAATAAACTACTGAGTCACAGCAAAGGTGTTGAGGCATTAGGCGAGTAAAGAATGGACGCCTGACAATACGTGCTCGAAAAGTGACCCACTGAAAGCAAAGGCACAAAAACACACTACGGGTGACGACATTGTAAGACCATGGCCCTAATTAGAAACCATCGTTGCAACACAACAATAACAGGATCCACTGTTGTCGGTTCTGAAATGCGCACAAAACCTCACATACACGTAAGTAAGATACATGTTCGGACAGGCAGATATCAGTGAACAAACAGGATACGACCTGTGTGGCATTTATTACACCCGCCGAAATGCATGCGCGAATCAAACAACTTACAACATATAACTGACTACTTCATATAATGTATGTATCCCTCGTATAAATTCAAATAAGCAGTAATCCTTCTATAGAATCAATAGTTAAACTATGAGTATTAAGTAATAAATCTAGTACTAAATAGTACTTCAATTAGTAACAGGAATTATTAACAGAAACGAATTTCTCTCACATTTGGCATATTTTTAACAAGATTGTTAACAAGTGTGCGGAGAAACAGGGTACCTATTAACCTCATAAATATTAGTCTTCAAAGTCCAGGGGACTATACCGAAGACGGAGAGAGACAGTTTATCAAATAGACTGTGGATCAGAGGATCTCACAGACATCAACACTGTAGATCGCAGACGAAAAAGCTTAAATTTTGCAAGTAACCAAAGAGGAACGAAGAGAATTCAATATTATAATATTTATACTGCATTACTTCTACTAAATAGCGCGGTTATTACAATTGAAAAACTGCTGCTTCAATGAATATCACAGCCTTCCCATCTTCTACAATCTAGCTTCTAGTTTTAGAATATTAAAATAACACCAGTTATGAGTTAATAACAGTAAACATGCATGAACCTCAAGTAACTCAGTCGCTCACGGCAGTCAGGAACTTCTGGAATTCGTCGAAGTAACATACATGACGACAGATTATTTCGTAGTTATGGGTGATCGACTACAGTCTACAGACACTGGGCTGCCAGGCGTGTGCAAAATGTGTTTTTATCTTCAGGGATAAAAAATATATTGACGATTACAGTTATACAATCAATGAGTACGCTTAAAAGTGGAGGCGTGAATGTGCTTGCGACAGTGTTACGTTCCTACAATTAGATATTACTGTGCGGCGCTTACCTTCAATTTCTGTGTGTGGGACATCCATTTCGTGAAATCCTCGATCCGTATAAAGTTGCTTAACATTTGTACAAGTCCCCGCTGTCGATGTAGTACACCACGACGGTGCCAAAACGGTACATAACACGATAACGCACAACCAGAAACAGTTCTTGTATACGGCCATTTTGATTTTTTGCAAGAAGTAAATAGAGCTACACTCAGATCACGGTTTACACGATATATACGATGGATGAGTAGCTCATAATACACTAGCTAAACACCGATAATATATATATCACACAAGCACAACACGATCGGTTACGGTGAGTCGCTAATGAAAATGCCTGGCAAATTTCAACATGTTCCTCGATCAACTTCTTCCTTACGTCTGCTGCTCGATGTTTTGTCGTGTCTTACTTGCGATTGCAGCGCCCCTCGTGGAAATTTGCTCGGCTTGAATGAAAGAACGTTCACTTGTAACTGAATAGTTTGTTCGCAATCGCAGCATGGCGTGGTAGGAGGAGCCATAGTCATAGAGATAATAAATATGCATAGATATAGATATATATATATAGTTATCTATATTATTTTTATGGTAGGAGCACACCGATGTATAATAATGTCTCGAATGAACCCAGGCGCGTAGCCAGGGGGGGGGGGCCGTGGGGCGGTCGCCCCCCAAAACGCCGGCCAAAAAAAAGAGAGAGAAGAGAAAAAAGTAAGAGGACGTAGGAAGAAAAAGGAGCATACAAAGACACATTAAAAAGATTATAAACGAAACAACAAAATATCTTTTAATTATTTAAAAATATTATGTGAAATGAGCTTTGAGCCCAGCGCAGTTCGCCTTTTATCTAGCTCGGCATAACATATCATGCGTACCTACACAATAATATGACTATCGAGCTCTACGGATATTTTGTGTACAGCGGGTCGGGGTCTCTACGTGCTACTTGTGTATTCTTATTGTGTGTCTGAGCTGTCACACAGGGCAAGACTCGTCCCAGCGATATAACTTCTGGCCAATCATATGCTGTATATCAATGACGTAGCGTTGCATCATAAATAATGTTCTCTAGTGATAGACGACTCTTAATGGTCACTTGTTTTAGCATCTAGTCTAATCAACAGCAACCCTAACCCTAACCCTAACGCTAACCATATCAGCTAGATAGTTATATACC